GCACCCCACAGCGGGCTATGGGCATGCCCAGACCGGGAGGGGGAGGGCATGGGCACCCCCAGGGGGGAGGGGATGATGGGCACCCCACAGAGGGCTATGGACATGCCCAGACCAGGAGGGGATGGGCACCCCCAGAGGGGGGCCTGCTCTACACACAGGTGTCCTGGATGCAATTGAATCAGGTTAAAAGTGGAGCAGAGAGGGTGGGTTCCGCTCACCTGTGCCACCCAGTCCATTGGGCTTTGTTCCCGCGAGGGGCTGCGCATTGCGCTGTACGTATCTGGGTTCGATCAGGACTGCGTGGAGCAGCTTGGAGCTTTGCCCTGGCCAGAGCTTCCCACACTCTGCCCCAGCGCCCCACTCCTCCTCGTTCCCTGTCCAAGCCGGCCCATCACCCCTGCCTCCCCCTTGCTGCCTCACGTGCTCCTGGCTTTAACGCTAGCGGATTTGGGCAGATTGACATTCTTTGAAAATCCCCTTGAATCCTTGGCCCCCTCTGGGGGCTGATTATCCACAGCTGCAACAGGCCAGAGTTGTGTCACCCTTCCCCCAGGCACTGTGGGCAGGTCGCTTGCTCTTCCACCAGAGCTGCTAGGTCCAGGACTCCCTCCCCAGCCCCTGCACCCAGACGTGCTCTGGAAACCAGGCTGGGGCTGGAGCAGGGGCCCCGTCCTGTAGTGCTGGGCACACTCAGAAAGCAGAAACAGGGCAGGGGGAGCTGGCTGAGCTTGGTCTCCAGGCATAGCTTCTGCATAACCCCTCTCCATGCCCGTTTGCTGGGCCGGGAGCAGCCAGCCAGTCCACGCACGTGCTCATGAAGCTGCAGGATTCAGCACACGCCATGGCAAGCAGGAGAGTGCTGCAGCCATGGGTGCTGTCACCATCCCCGGCACCAGCACCAGGCTGTGCTGGCCACTGGCAGCAGCGCAGAGAGATCCGTCCCATCCCCTGCCCCATGCTGGACACCTGATGAACAAGTTCTCCCCCAGATCCGCCTTCTCACAGCCTCACCCCCACTCATTCCAACCCGCACCTTAGCATCGCACCCGCAGCCAGCGCTCACACATCCGGACGAGGTGAAAATCTCAGTTCTCCAATGCGGAATTCCCCCCATCCATCCGGACACCCCCAGCAGCACAGCCACCCTCCAACGGGGTGCCCTGTGCACACAGCACCTTCCACAAACACCCCCAGCTTGGGTTGTAACAGGAGCGGGGTCCTTAGCTAGCACTGGCCCTCGGGATCCCTGCAGGCACTGTACAGGGACCCCCCCCTCTAGTGGGGCCCTCTCCCTCCTCTCTCTCTCACTGGTCTCTACAGCGTCTACTGGGCTCTGGCCATGGAAAGAACTTTGGGGCACCCCCCACAGACACACACTTCCCTATCTGGTTACAAAGGGCTGCCTGTGCCTGCCCCCTTTGTGTGGGCCTGGGGATTTGCCTGGCTGCACAATACCAGCTTAATTTCTTGTACTTACAGTCCCCTGGGGTTACTTTTTCCTGGCTCTCCCGGTGCTGGGAGGCTGAATCACGTGGAGGGAGGCAGGGCAGAAGAGAACCACTGGCTCCAACAGTTTCTCGGGGCTGGCTGTGCTTCCCCTTCCTTTATATATCCCACTGTCTGCCACTCCTCATGAGCCCAGGGCTGGGAGGAGACAGTGGGCCTGGGAGGCAGTGAGAGGCTGAGAGGATGCAGGTCTCAGGCATGCCGAGACCAGACTCTGCAAAGCCAGTTTCCCCTGCCCACGGGCTGCCTGCCCAGGGCACAAAGGGCCTGGGCTCACAAACATGCAGCCACCTGCCCTGGTCCTTGGGGCACACAATTGCTCAGCGTGTGTGTGCAGTGGCCGTGAGCAAACCACGCGGCGCAGGCTCCCGAGGCCACAGCAGCACTTGGCCTGCTCTGGTGGAGGGGGTGTGAAGCAGCCGGGGGTGAGGGTGGGGGCTATGTCTGCACTTAGGGGTCAGACTCGCGTTACGCTCCCCTCTATTCGCGTGTCTGAAGCAAATTCAATGCTGGTGCCGGGGCCCTCGAGCCTATCCCCAGAGCAGGCCCAGCACAATCAGCGTCCCACCTCCATGCTTCAGGCCTGACCTTCTGGGGCCACCTCCAGGGAGCAGAGGCGAACACCGGTGGGCTGGGCCCCCGCTGAGGCTGAAAGAGAGGCCAGCTTGTGCTGCTTGTGAGGCAGGAGCCAGGCTGGGAGCAGCCTGCGCCCAGCCGATTGGAGCTATGCAGTCAGCTCCCTAGGGGCTCTGGACACACTCCTCTGCCCAGCCCCACCTCTGCCTGCTCCCCATGAGCCCAAAGGGAGGTGCCAAGGGCAGAGCTGAGGTTCTTAACCCCGCAGTCACCAGGGCTACCCCAGGAATGTCCATGCTCTATGCCAGAGCTGCCCCACACCCGGGGTCTCACAGTCACAGGGAAAGGCTCCCCAAGTGGGGTTTCCCTGGGATGGCTCCTGCTGATTCCTTCAGTGACACTAGTGCAGATGCCACAGACTGTACGGAGAGAAACAACCTGTTGGGAGTTCTGCTCCTGGCCACAATCCTGTCCCTGCACTGCACACAGTCACAGACTGCCAGGCCCCCTGCTCTCTCGGCTCCGTACGGTCCCTGGAAGGAACCCGCCTCAGGGTGATAGCCCTCCGTGGGGGTTAGACCCTCTGGCCAGGCCACCTCCTGGGACTGCAGCACCTCTGAGCCTTCTGCACGCCCAGCTTTCTCTGTGGGCCTCCATGGGGAGTCCCTCACTCTGGGGCCTCCCCACCCAGGGGCAGCAATGCCCCCCCCCCCCCCCCTCTACCGGTAGCCTGCAGTGGCCCTCAGCCAGCGCAACACAGGAGGGTTTCTTGTACATCCGAACACAGCACAGGAAGTTCTCCGGGCCCTCGGGCCTAGAAACTCTCAGCACCATCCATCTGGGTCTGCCTCCATCCAGCAGCAACCTCCTTCCAACTGACCACCCTATATCCCCTTCCCTAGCCCCTCCTCCACCTGGGCCCGCTCTCTTCCCTCCTTTGTTCCCACTGGCCAAAACCAGCTGCCTTCCAGATCCCCAGGGTCCTCTCTCCTCAGCCCTTTGTCCTCCCACTGGCCAGAACCGGCTGGCTTCCAAGGGGGTGGGCCTCCGGGTCACCAGTTGCTTACTCACCGTGTCCGGGGTCCAGGCTGCTAGGCGAGTCACACCTGGTCCTCTGTAACAACAAACACCCTCTCCCACCACCTCATTCCACACACAGCACATGGGGCAAAGTGAGACACACACAGTGTTCATGCAAAACACTAAGAAAATCCCCCTCCCTTCATCTCACACACACACAATTAGAACAATTGTGCAAGCAAATGTCCACATGGGTCTGTGTCTGATCTGCACACGATTATCACGTGCAGCTGGATAAGTGCAGGACTAATTAGGAGTCTTTGTGGTAACATCACAGTAATTGCTTGTGCATTAGCACAACTCATGTTGCCTAAAATCTGATCCTAAGAGCCTAATAAACAAAAGGAGAATTAACAAATAAACAGCAAACTGCTATTTGCCAGGTCTGGTGCTGCAGGGAGAGCTCAGGGAATCCCATTCCCATGGAAAGCCGGAGGAAAACAGTGACTTCCCAGGTTGTTGCAAGGTAACTTTTACTAATTTGTGTTCAATTTTAGGTGCATTTGAAAGTAGCTAAACTGGGGAACCCACTGGGAAACACCACAAAAAGAGCAGTTCCCAACGACAGGGCTGCCAGAAGCGGTGAGGGGTGTTCAGAAAATCCCTTTAGGATATTTGTATGTAGAACGTATGACTTTCCAGAGGGATGTAATGACCAGTGTGGGCATCCGAGGGCTCAGGAGATGCTGATGTGGTTTCCTGGCGCAACTTGGCCTAGCCAATGGTGGAAAGGCTGCCGTTTGGTGTGACCCAGAGGAGACCATTAACAGTGCTTTGTCTCACTCTCTCCATCTCCCTGGCTGGCAGCCCCAGCTCACTCCTACAGGCTGGCTGTCAGGACTTCAAAGCTTCTTTGGTCAACTGGCTATTTGCAGACTAACCCTCTGTTTATATCTGTGTGAGGGGAACCACCCATCCAGGCAGCAGGAGGCTGAGACCCGTGATGAAGCCCAGTGGCTTTTGTGCAGAAAGTCCAGTGGAGCAGCAGCCATGTGTGGGCTCAGCCTCCCTCTGCAGAGCGACTCAAGGTGCGGGAGACAGGGCCGGCTCCAGGCACCAGCTAAAGAAGCAGGTGCTTGGGGCGGCCAATAGGAAGGGGCGGCACTTCGGGCGCTGTTGGGGCGGCATGTCCGGGGTCTTCGGCGGCAATTCGGCGGCGGGTCCCTCAGTCGCTCTGGGAGCGAAGGACCTACCGCCGAATTGCTGCCGAAGAGTGGAGCAGCGCGATCGCGCTGCCGCGGCTTTTTTTTTTTTTTTTTTTTGCCGCTTGGGGCGGCAGAAAACCTGGAGCCGGCCCTGGCGGGAGAGGACCAAGTTTTAATTCTAGACGTTAAACTACCAGGGATCTAACAATTAAATCCCGAAAAGAAACCAGCCCATTGAATGTGACCACAGGGACGGAGCAAAGGGCGCTCGTTAGCTAAATGAGAGGTTCCACAACCCTAAATAGACTGGAGTGCTGCCGCAGGAGCAGCTGGCTGTGGGTTCTCCAAAGAACACCGCACTCTGCCCCCACCTGCAAAGTACATGCTGCAGTTCCCCCTAACCACGAGGGCAGGGCAGGCCCTTACTGGGATGGCACTATAATCCCAGGTCCCCAGGGCCAGGTGCACACCAGCGTGTCCAAACTCTCCTTTGCTGTGAGGCCTACACAAAAATTCACAGAGGCTAGGCTGCTTTTGAGCTGAGCCCACTGCCCATCACGCAGCCCCATACTGTCTGTTTCCTTGTGCTCCCCCATCATTCTACTCAGGGTGTCTACACTTAAAATGCTGCAGCAGTGCCACTGTAGTGCTTCAGTGTAGACACTATGCAGATGGGAGGGCTTCTCCCATCGCTAGGTAACCACCTCTCTGAGGTGCAGCTAGGTCAGCAGAAGAATTCTTCCATGGACAGAACGCTATCTACATTAGGGCTAGGTCACTCTAGCTGGGTCTCTGGGGTGTGAGTGTGTGTGTGTGTGTTTTTCACCCCCCCCCCAGAGTTGTAGCTACACCGAGGTAAGTTCCTAGTGTAGACAGGCCTTAGATCGTAAGCTCTTTGCGTCAGGGACTGTCCTTTGTATTTGTACAGTACCTAGCCCCTGGGGGCGCTCTGATAATACAAATAAATAATACTATCACCCAGCCAGCCACACTCCTGTTTTTTTGGGTTGCTGAGCTAGCCTCACTCTGCACTATTGCATTAAAGTGAACCTTCATCTGCTTTAGTAAATGAGACACTGGAGAGGAAGGCCTCGTCCACACTAGGCATTTACTTTGGTACAGCTACATCTCTCAGGGGTGTGAAAAATGCAGCTATACCGACCTCACCCCCAGGGTAGCCCAACGCTAGGAGAATTCTCCTGTCGACCTAGCTACTTCCTCTCAGGGAGGAGGATTACCTATGCCGACGGGAGAACACCTCCTCTTGGTGTGGGGAGTGTCTCCATTGAAGCGCTACATAGCGGAGCTGCACTGCTGCAACGTTTTAAGTGTAGACAAGCTCAAAGGGTGGGCTAGTGGTCCAGCCATGGGTCTAGGGTCAGGATGCCTGGGTTCCATTGGCAGGTTCAGGAGGAAAGTGAAGTAAAGTGTTTAGAGCAGAAGGAGCACAGAGGCAGTTGACTGGGTTTCCCATCTGACAGGCTTGCTTGGGCATTTCACAACTCTTCGCCTCAGTTCCCCTCTCTCTGAAATGGGGCTGATGATACCACTTCATGGTGGACTTATGGGATTAATTAATGTTTGGGACATGGGTTCTCAGGGTTGATTCTGGTGTACAAGGACCTTCACAGGGAGGAAATATTCAGTAGTAAAGGGCTCTGCAGTCTAACAGAGAAAGGTATAACAAGAACTAGGGGCCGGGAGATAAAGCTAGGCAAATTCAATTTAGAAATAAGTCACAGGTATTTAACAGTGAGGGGGATTAACCACTGGAACAAACTGTGACACTGGCAGACAGGTGCCAGCTCAGGCCAAGGTCCCCATCCCTCAACTGAACCCTGACAGACACCTAGCTGGAGCCAGTCCGGCCCGCCTGGGTGTTAGTAATGTTAAAATAGGAAGTATAGGAACGTGTTGAGAGTTTAGTCTATTGAAGGCTGGGGCATTAATCTCACATGTAGCATCTGTATCCCATACTGTAAGGTAATGCTTGAGCATTTGCATTGTAAGCCGTTGTAACTGTAACTCTCCAGGTAGGAGAGGGACATGAACCAGTGTGAAATGCTGGTCTCCAAGAGATGTTATGCCCTGCCCGACAGGGAAGGCCCAGCAACACCTAGGGTGACCAGACAGAAAGTGTGAAAAATCGGGACGGGTGGTGGGGGGTAATAGGTGCCTATATAAGAGAGCCCCAAATATCGGGACTGTCCCTATAAAATCAGGACATCTGGTCACTCTAGCAACACCAGATGGACTGAAGTGGAATGTTAGCGAGGATACAGAGTTTGCTGTTTACTCTCCCCTCTTGCAAGCACGGCTTAAATTCAGCGGGAGCCCACTGCAGCAGGAGCTCTGGTAAATAGTTTCAAACTCCCAGGAGCCCTGGCACCTCCCACAGGGTTTCAGCCTGCAGAAGGCCCCAGGGCTTGTGGCCTCAGCCCTGCAGTGCGTGCTGGGGCTCAGGGCTTCAGCCCCAATGTGAGGCCCCCTCCCCCCCCCATGGGGCTCCAGTAAATAATTGTTGAGAACTTAAGCCCCGCTTGCAAGTGAATTCCTCCCATCAACTGAGCTTGCAGTTCAAAGCAGAAGTGGAAAAGGGAATAAAAACCCCTGACAAGGAGGAACAGTATCTTTATGCTGCTTGGACTGTGGGGACAAGATTTCTAGGCATAAGCAAAAAATTCCCAGTGCTTTGCTTGGGTTAGCCCTAAAGGACATCTAGAGCTTGCTTATTGTAGAAGTTCCTGTTATTTTTGAAGCTTGAGATTGGTGTGTGTTTGCCTGCTTTAACCTTGTAAATAACTCCTGTTTCCTTTTCCTAGTTAATAAATCTTTAGATGGGTTATTATAGTATTGACTACAAGCATTGTCTGTGGTGTGAGATCTAAAGTACAATTGACCTGGGTAAGTGACTGGTCCTTGAACCCAAACGTTGCTGGGATACTCAATGTAAGGGACCGTGTCACAAAGGCAGGGTCCCCTGGGTGGCGAGACAGACCAGAGTGCCCACGGAGACGCTGTGATGCTCTGGTTAGGCTGTTACGGAGCCCGAGGAGTTTGCACTTGATCGCTGGTTGGGAACAGTCTGCCCTGAGCTTAGTACTCACACTCTTGAGCCACTGCAGGACAGTTTGCCACAAACTACTAAGGGAAGTGCAGGATTCTCCACTTCTTGACACCTTCAGAGCCAGACTAGAGGCCTTTCTGGAAGATGCTTTAAGGTATGTCTACACTGCACGCCCAGCTAGCATGGCTATCAATAAATGCTATAAATGGCAGTGTGAACAGTGAGGCTTAGCTTGGGCAAGTAGAGCACCCTACATGCTTGAACCCTAGTGTATACATCCCTACACGGCTCTCTGCACACCCATGCAGCACCTCCCATGGCTGCACTGCTAGTGTTGGCAGCATAGCATTCTGCTGCCAGAGCCTGACACCGTGGCAGGGATGGACAGAGGGGGAAGGCTCTGATGACTCCCTGCTGTGGAGCATGACACCGTGGCAGGGATGGGCAGATGGGGGAGGCTCCAGTGGGTCCCTGCTGTGGAGCCTCTCACCGCTGCATCCAGCCTCGTGTCCCACCCAGGCCAAGCCCCAGGTACGCACAAGTTCCCATGTGCCATGCAGGGGCACAGGGATCAGGCTCCATGACCCAATGGCGCTTGCAACCTTCGACTCTACGAATCACTAGCCCAGAGGAGAACCCAGGAGTCCTGGGCAGTGCTTCTATATCGTGATGCCAACTTTTCCCAACCTAGCGCTAAAAATATCCCAAATCTGGTGAAAAATTCCCAGATAAAGTTTTTTATTTCAAAATCTCAAAGGAACGTAATGTGTGTGTTTTTAATAACTATATAATATATATTATATCCAAATTCTTCTTATTTGTTCAAGATATTTCACATTTATTATAATTTTTATACATATAAACGTGTTTTTCAATTTTAAACTTGTTACTTATACAGTAAATAAAATATTTAACACATGAGGAGTAGGATTGAAATGATAGAAAACAATGTATTTTACACAAATTTCACTATTTTAAAAACAAAAGTATTAATAAGTACAGCATGTGCCCTACAGTGTACTGTACATCAAAGTTACTTTGAAAAAATAAAAAGTAAACATATGATTATAAAATAAGATAAAAAAGCAAACAGAACAAATAACACTCTTTCATATAATTTTCCTTATTATTATTATCTCTGAGTTTTATCCATTTTCTGACTCATGGTCTGAGTCGTCACTAGGAACATCATTACCATCATTAATATTTTTACTAGTTTTATCACTATCATTTTTCCTGTACATATTTTTACAATGTAAGTACAAGTGCTTAATAGTAATTACAAAATTAAAATATTTCTCTTGCTTTGCTTTCCAAGCTGACCTTATAACTACACTAGAATTGAGTGTTTGGTTGTCATACAGTTTCTTGTTGTGGTTTTTATGTCAGTTACCATGGAAAAAAATCTTTCACATGCTGCATTTGAATGCGGTAATGTGAAAACCTGTTTTAGCCAGTTCAGATATATTTGCAAACATGAATTGACCTGAATAATCTAAATTCATTAACTTTCAATTTTTCTACAAGTTCCTCAGTCTCAGTTTGCACCAAAACATTGCTAATTATAGCAGTACATTTATCTTTCTTTAATGTTACAGCCTCAGCAATTTTGGAATCAGGGAAACATTTTGTAACTACTTCAGTCAAGTGTTCTACAGACTGAATACTGACATTGTGTTTAGCAAAGTAACAGGCCATTCTAATCTCTGCATTTTTAACTTGCTCTTCAAATTTTTGTGCTTTTTTAATTTCACAATCTTGTTTATTAAACATATCATCAATTTTCTTTGTATTAGATACTGTCTTAACCTTTTGTTTATGTTTTTTACCATTAGCATGCTTATCTAACTCACTGGTACAGGGGTCGGCAACGTTCGGCATGCGGCTCTCCAGGATAAGCACCCTAGCGGGCCGGGCCAGTTTATTTACCTGCTGACGCGGCAGGTTCGGCCGATCGCGGCCCCCACTGGCCGCGGTTCGCCGTCCCGGGCCAATGGGGGCGGCGGGAAGCGGCGCGGGCCGAGGGATGTGCTGGCCGCGGCTTCCCGCAGCCCCCATTGGCCCGGGACGGCGAACCGCGGCCAGTGGGGGCCGCGATCGGCCGAACCTGCCGCGTCAGCGGATAAATAAACTGGCCCGGCCCGCTAGGGTGCTTACCTTGGCGAGCCGCGTGCCGAACGTTGCCGGCCCCTGCACTAGTACCTGCCTGGATTTTTACATCACAACATTTGCAATAAGCTAAAAAACGATTGTTTTCTACTTTCTGCAGCCAGTCTTTGTATTTACCTTCTTGAAGCCACGAGTCTTGAAAGGCTTTTTTGAAAGTAGATGGCTTCTCTTTGGTGGAAGTTCACCCCGAGTCTTCAATACTCTGTCGGGGGTGCTATCCCGTTGTTTTCGTTTCAACGTGGACGGATCTTTGTCTACTCCTGCAGTCCTCTTCCTCTTCTCACCAGCCGTACTGGTCCCTTTAGTCATTTTTTATGTTAGATAAAAAATGGAAAGAGATCTCTGAAATAATGGAATGCGATAATTAGTATAATGTATATTTCAATTTATATTTAAATCAAAGAAGGGAACATATTATATATTATTACCTAACACAGTAGGCGAAGATATTTAATATTTGCCTGGAGGAAGGTGCTGTTACAAATTTATGAACCGCCGAATGCTCTGGTCCACATTCTCTGTGCAACTGAAAGCACGAAATACAAAATTTTAGGGATTTAATGACAGATCAAGAAACTAATCATAATCAGTAAGTATTGCAATATATTTAATTACTGGAAGAAACCTTACCTAGAAGATAAATTTGATAACCATCGCCTCATTACCTGCCAGCCAACTGTTGCTGAGGTTGGTTTGTTTCCAGTGCATGTGCGCACTTGTCACTTCTCTTGTGCCATCATGATATAGTCCATTGAAGCACCACCAATAGGAGAGCGGCATGGCCCGATTATGAAAATCACATGACAGATATTCACCAATCGAAGAACGCATTTTGAGGGAAATTTAAAAGAAGCGCAAATATTTTACTTTTTATGAAAACTTCCCAGGATTTTTGAGATTTGGAGTCTTTGACTTTTTATGAAATTTTCCCAGGATTATTTAGGTGTTGAATGAAAATTCCCAATTTCCCAAGTTGAAACATTTTACTCAAAAATTCCCAGAGTTTGGGAAATTTCCCAGGATATAGAAGCACTGGTCCTGGGGACTAGAGCTCCGCCCCCCAGCCGGCCTCCGTGCCTGGCCCCGCCCAGAGGGGAGGAGCCTCCCAGGAGTTCCAATAAGGCCACACTAAAGATGGCGCCAGGAAGGCAACAGGGCGCTGCTGGATTAGCGCATGCGTATTGTTGGCACCTGAAGAGCGAGTCTAGCTTCTACCCATGCGCATTGCCTGAGGCTGGGGCGTGGAGAGAGTCACGCCTGCGCAGTGTCTGAGTTCGACAGCGGCGCCTGCGCAGTACCCGGGGCGGGGCGGCCCAGCGGCTGCGCACTGGCTGCTCCGGGTCCCGATACAAGATGGCGGCGGAGGGGAGGGCGCGGCGGAGGCGGGACGGTAGCAGGAAGCGGAGCGCTCCCCGGTGCCCCCAGCCCCTGACCTCCCACGCAGGTACCGGCCGCGCCCGGGTGGGCAGGGGCCGCGCCCCGGGAGATGAGGCGGGGCGGGGCCAGGCCGCCGGGAGGGGGGGTGAGGGACCCGCGCGGCTGAGGGGGAGGCGGCCCCGGGTCCTCGGCCGCCATCTTAGAGCCCTGCGCGCCCTGCTCCCGGCCGCCGCTGTCCGCGCGGGGCCCGGCCGCGGGCTCCCTCTGCCGCCGCGGCCTGGGGCCCGGGAGCGCGCACGGGGACGGAGCGGGACCGCGTCCCCGCGCCTGCGCACTCCGGGAGGCGGGCAGCGAGCGCGGGCGCGTGAGCAGGCCGCGGGCCCCGGCGCGGGGCAGGGGCAGGGGCAGGGGCGGGCGGGCACTAATGCGGCCTGTTCTCGCCCCGTAGCGCCCGCCGCGGGCCAGGCGCGCCCCCGCCCGCTGTGAAGATGCGGCCGCAGCCCCGCGCAGCGCACGGCCTGGCCGGAGAGGCGAGCGAGGCCCGCGACCCAACCCGCAATTGTAAGTAGCTCGGCGGCGCCCACGGAGCTCCGCGACCCCGGCCCGGCTGGACGCCGCTCGGCAGCGGGGAGCCGGGCCCTGCTGTTCCGCGTCTCCCGGCCGGCAAGGGACGGCGCCTCCGATCGCGGGATCTCCAGCCTGCTGCCTCCGCCTCCGGGGATCGCCGCCGCCTCCGCAGCCCAAGTGCCCGGCTCTGCCTGACCCTGCCCCGGCCGCGCTCCCGGCGCGCACTGCCTCTGGCTGCCACGGGCTCTCTCAGACTGTACGTTAGGCTCGTGTCATTTCTGTTTGATGTTCATGTGAGTTAACACAAGTGCGTCCTTCTGCTTCTTACCAGTGACCTTCCCATGTGTTACCCATTAAAAACAACAACCAAATCATTAGTTTGTCAGTGTCATTCTCAATAGAAATAGCCCGGGGGCTAGGATGGATACACTCTGGTGTTGAGCAATTACAGTTCCCTAGGCTGTGCTGCCAGACTGACACCCAAAAGCAGTGCAGAAATGAGTTGTGATGGTGTTCAACTTTGCCAGCCCCAGCGAGCAGCCCTGCCTTGGGGATGACAGGAACTATCTTCAAAATTTCTCCCCCCTCTGCTGCTAATTCCTAATGGCTGCATCCGTCCTTCTGTCTGATTATAGAGCGAAACATGTAAAATCCCCTATTGATGAAGTGGAACAAATCATGCTCCTTCTGGCTGTACTCCCTTGCTGTGTGTCTTCTTCCACCTTACTGTACTCTGTTTGGTAGTTACCACTTCCAGGTTATAAGCTCTTTGGGGCAGGGACCAGATCTTATGTCTGTAAAGTACTGTACACAACACTGATAACATAACCAATATATAATGGTTATTTTGGATCCATTTTAAGTCCAAGCATTGGTGAGATACAGGCCAAACTGCTCCTCCAAATATTCCCATCAGCATGGCCCACTGGAGAGAGAAGGGGACTGGGTATAAGGGACCTGGGTTTATAGTCTACTCAGCCACACTTTCTTCAGTGAGTTGGGAAGAATCACTCTCTCTGCTTCCATTTTCCTGTCTGTAAATGGAGATGGCACTTCATTTGTTAAGTGCTTTAAACTCTATGGATGAAAAGCATTAGCTAAATATTATTATATACGCCACATATCAAACCTTGCACCAACTTCTGTCATTTTATTTAACACTTTGTAGCCTGTAAATAGCTGTAGCTTCTTGAAGTACACACCTGGTTTATTTTGGGCCTTACCCCACTACATTTAAGTATAATGCACACAATCTATAACGGAGGACACACCAGCAATCATATTGAATAAGCATGGGCTTGGGTCTTTTACATATTTTTCTAAAGAGGAAGGATTAAAAGCTTTTAAAAGTCAGACAAGATGGGTGATTAATGGACTATGTAATGAAGCTTGTGAGGCCGGAGCCCTGTGAAACACAGATTCCAGCTATGGTCTGGTGCATAAACGTGACTTTAGCGTGGGGCTGAGCTGTTGCCTTTTTCCTGCAAAATGATTGAGCTAGTTTTGCAGCCTCTGCTCACTCCTGGCTAGGATGACTGTAGAAGTCACCCTGGGGTTAGAGTGGAGGAAACATAGCACAGATATGCAAAATTAATATAACTTCTCCACTTGCTGAAGGGTCTAAATATTTGTATGTTGTGGAGCAGGCTAATAGGTGCTCTCGGATAATATACAGCCTTTCAGCTGTGGGCTCGTCTCTTGCCTGGCTCTGGAGAATCAAGACTTCTAGAAGACCTGCACACTTCCATTAACCCACTATATTGCCTTTACTGGGAGAAGGAAGGAGGGTGGTTCCCTCTTTGTGGCACCTCCCCCGCCAGGCATGCCTACCAATACACTTCAGTTCTGACCTGCAACACATTCTCCTTTTGTAGTTACAGGCAGCCAGTGCTCATTCCTGATTCGTAGAACTTCCTTCTATTCCACTTCTGCTGAACGTACTGCCTGTTGTGAAATGTGCAGGAAGGGAGTAGACCACCAGATTTATCACGTGACCCAGGATTTTAACATGGGTCTCTATAGATGAAAGATGAGAGCATGGCCACTTTGCACTATTATTTTATATTAGTGCCACTTAAATAAACTTCTTTAATGGCAAAGAGGTGCCACTGTCTTAGATACTGAATTGTGGGGGGACAGAAGGGTGGTGAAATACAAAGGCACCTGCCCAGTTGGAGTTGGAAAAACTGGGGTAACTGCTGAAAACTCCTTAACATTCATCCCTTTTTCCTTGCTTCACTGTAGAGCCAGCATGTTTAGGTTTGATAGAGAAGCCATCTCTGATACTTGACCCAGGACAAGTGTTTTGATAGCTTCACAGGGAGGGTTGACTGAGAAGAGCCTGTCTCTCCAACTGACAACATTTAATAATACTTACAGGATGCTTTAGCAGTATGACCTAATTAACCTCCATGTTCCCTTTTGTGGAGAGAGATAGGAGTGTCACCCCCATTTTGCAGCTCAAGAAATTGAAGTACAGAGAGGTGTGGTAGCTTGTTCAAAGCCCTGGAGCAAGTCAGTGACAGGACCAAGGAGTTCTTGCCTCCCAGCCTGTGTTTGCTTGTGGATCTCACTGGTTGTCTTTCTAAGAGCACTGGAGTTATTTTATGTAGTACTTGAATGTTTAATAGATGCCTCAAGTTTAAAGCTAACAAAGTTTGTGTGTGTATGTATTGTTTTAAGCCAATGCTATCTCATAAAGATTACGGGAGCAGATGAGGGTGCACTCTGTTCCTGGTATGGTTGAGATGGGGGAGGGCTGCATATGTTCTCAGGTGAGAAGTGGTTTCTCTTCCAGGTAGGCCAGTAGGGTATCAGACACTTGACCTTTCTGATGTCTAGTTGTAAGTTGTGTGTTTTTTAATACTGCTAAGTGATTCCCCTCTTGTGTGCTGTTCAGAGTTAAAAGTTCCTATTAATCAGTGTGTAATTAGGTTAACAGCCATCTGTAACAGCTTTCTGCCTTGGAGTCAGGTGCTCCCCACCCCGTTTCAAGCCCTCTGTTGTTGCTGATACAGGATTGTATTGCTAGAGCTAAGCTGTTGAACTGGCTCTGGGCACAGGGCCAGCCTTGCACAAATCATATTTTGATGTGCTGTTTGTGTATATTTTCTCTAGTGCATGTGCTGAGAAATGGCCAATGAGAATCACGGCAGCCCTGGGGAGGAAGCTTCTCTGATGAGTCACTCACCTGGTACCTCTAACCAGAACCAGCCCAGCTCCCCGAAACCCATCCGACTGGTGCAGGACCTGCCAGGTACTTGTTCTGCTGTTTAGGGGGTCAGGCATATGATTCTGGAGCCCTGTGGCAGCAGAGAGGGAGAGGGGAAAGTTTAGGGTAAGGAGCCTCTCGGAGTGGTAGAGGGGATTTTGGGATGATATTTCCCCCTTCCCACCCCTAGTTTAGCATGTGCTGTGACAGTGATGGGGACTGGAGCAGCAGGGTTGCTGTCCAGGGCTGCTCTTGTGCTGATACTTTTCCTCTCTCCTAGATGAGCTGGTGCAGGCTGGCTGGGAGAAGTGCTGGAGTAAACGGGAGAATCGCCCTTACTACTTCAACCGTTTCACCAACCAGTCACTGTGGGAGATGCCTGTCCTGGGACAGCACGATGTCATTGTGAGTAACTGTTTGCCTCAGGTGGTCATAGTGATGCGGGGATGCCCTACTGGGATTTATATGGCACTCCTGTTGGAGTGGGATTATAGAGAGAGAGCTCCTCTTCTGAGGGTCTGCTCCTCTCTTGGGATGAAGGTGTCTGGTACTGGCAGGACACTGTGGGGAAGCAGCTTACCCTGCTACAAGTGTCTTATCTGGCCTTGGCTAGGCATTTCTCTTTTTGGGGTGGGGACACTGCTGGAATTACCTACTCTCTTCATGTGTCAACCTATAATGCCCCAGTTTCTCTCCACTTGAGAGATTGGGGCAATGAAATGGGGAAGACGAGAGTTTGTTCTCTCCAGTTGGAGTTGTGGAAGGCTTGTGAACTATTGATTCTTGTTGTAACTATCCTCTTAGTCGGATCCTCTGGGATTGAATGCTGCTCCAATGCCTGCGGAAGGAGGAGTGTTGGAAACCACTCCGGAGAGCAAGCCAAGGAAGCGGAGACTCTCTGAGGAAGTTCAGCCCAGTGGTAACAGCGTGAAGAAAGCTAAGGTGTGTCCTAGTTCTCTGTAAGGTGTCCTTAAGCACATCCAGGTTGGACTAAACACTAGAATTAATGTCAAATATAGTTTAAGATTAGACAGAAGGAGGGTGGCTACTAAA